ACTGGGAAACGAGGTGACCGTACGAGCTCTCTGCTGGAAGTCAGTAGGTGGGTGAAGGAACCTGAACGAGATCACCATAGAATTCAAAAATGTGTTGAAGATGCAAAGCAATTTGGGCGACGCGTCGATGACGGTTCGAATGGGGAAGGCGTACAGCGGCATCGATTCGGCTATCGAAGGCAGCAGCTAATAAGATAGTGCTAGTAGGGAAAATCAGGATCGGTTAGCCAGCATGTCTGCTGGGAGCTATTTCACGGCCCTGCTTCTGTTTTAACTGAATGGGATTTGGTCACTTGGCTATAGACGGCAAATGAGGTAACAGATTTATTCTATGCAGGAGTTCGAGACTGCAAGGTGCAACCAAGGTGTATGATGGCTGGGTCGGAGGACTGGAACGATCACATGACGGAAGGTTCCAGGTGCTCTGTGTTCCAAACGGCGAGGGACGTCAGCAGTAATGGAAGAGATGCAAAAAAAGAAGATATTTTAACAACATTTAAAAAATAGTGATGTTTAAATTTTTGAAATCGGAAAAAAATGCGCTATCAAATAACACAAAAAGTAAAAATAACATCCATAAGAAAAAACAAAGTTGATGATGGTTAACCGGAGACGAAACGTAAGACAACATTTAAAACTTGCATCTTGTAGAAGGAAAAAAAGTGGCCATAATAATGTGTCATTTATTTTGAAATATCTTTTTAAATGACTTCGGTAAAATAAAATCAATCTTGCAAAATTTCGTTTCCTTCAGGATATCTCCGAAAATAGTCAACATTTTTTCAGTTTTAACGGCATTTTGTTAAGCATTAAAATATGCAACTTTGCCAAATTTAAACTACCTACCTATCTGTTACAGTTTCCGAGATCCCCATGGTGGCTCTCGAATTTGAATCTACCTGTATATGCTTATTACGGTAACCTCTACGGAGGTTCTCCAGTGCACAGGTCATGATGGCTAACGTCTCTGCCTGAAACACGGTGCTATGCTACCTAAGGGAGAAGATGATGTCAACTCTTATATGCTCATGCTCATTCCCCTCTCCCCCTCTGTAAACCGCACGAGCCCCTCAACTTTGAGGAACGGATATATAAAAAGAGGTGTATGTCTCGTGTTCTTTCCAATTCGAAGAATATATATTACCTACCCTCTATCAAGGCAACAACTGCATTCAATGCAGCCATAATGCACTTCCACTGAGGCTCAGTGATGTCCACCTACTGGTGCGACACCGGAACCATGGCCACCCTGAGACCCACCACAGCGCCCATAGGTTTGTGGTGCACCCGCAACTTTCGGTGCTTCAGAACCTCTACACTTCCCCTGACGCCAGACCCTGGAGTGCTTCCCTCCGATCTGATACGCTTGGAACCTGACGTCGGGTTGCCCCAAGTCAACTACCCACATACAGGTTTTGGCGCAGAGTCCGTTTGACCCGAGGTGTTACCCTCAATACGGTGTTTCCTGGCCATCGCCATGTGTGCGCCAGTCCTATTCTTCTTGCGATTAAGAGCTGGAGTCGTCCCCTCTTTCGAGGAGCCTCCCCCCTGACGAGGAGCCCAGAAATGGTTTATTAAGATGATCGTCCATATAATTCCCATTAGCATTGCTGAAGTGCGGTCTTACCTGGACAGAGCCGCTCGTCCAGAGCTTCCCGAAGGGAACGGACCACCACTTGGAGGCCGCCCGGTATCCCGATATCGACACTGCGCTCCACTGCCACGCAGTCCTCGGCACGGTTGCTAACACCTTCACTTGGTGAGTTGATCCGCGGCGATGACCTTCGTCGCTACCAGTCTTAGCTCCGACGAGCCGCAAGGTCCGTGAAGTTAGCACGATCATTAAAAGCACTAACGACAGTACATAATCAAATCGTTAGTGCTTCTTAGTGCTTCATAACTTGCATCAGCACGACCGGCCGTTTCCGAGAAATCAACCCCCCTTTGTGTAGTGATGACGACCTACCCTCGTTGAAAGCATTAACGACCGGACAAGTACTAATCGTTAGTGCTTCGTTAGTGCCTATTGGTGCTCTATAACCTGCATCAGCATAATCGGCCATTTCCGAGAAATTGACCCCCCCCCCTTGTGTAGTGCTGACTTCATACCCTCGTTTTGAAAGCACTATCGACCGGACAAGTACTAATCGTTAGTGCCTCTTAGTGCTTAATAACTTGCATCAGCATGACCTGTCGTTTCCGAGAAATCGACTCTCTCTTGTGCAGTGCTGACTTCCTACCCTCGTTGAAAGCACTAACGGCCGGGAACATCTAAATTAGTTAGTGCAGCACTGTCAGCACTCAGAGGCACTAACTAAGCAATAACGATTAGCGTTTTTTCGGTCGTTAGTAGTGCTTTCAACGAGAGTAGGAAGTCAGCACTGCACAAGAGGGGGTCGTTTTCTCAGAAACGGTCGGTCGTGCTAGTGCAAGTTAAAAAGCACTAAGAGGCGCTAACGATTAGCACTAGACCGGTCGTTAGTGCTTTCAGTGAGGGTAGGAAATCAGCACTGCACAAGAGGGGGTCGATTTCTCGAAAACGGACGGTCGTCCTGATGCAAGTTATGAAGCACTAAGGGGCACTAACGATTAGTACTTGTCCGGAAACTGCCGGTCGTGCTGATGCATGTTATAAAGCACTAATAAGTACTAACGAAGCACTAATGATGTGATCAGGTACCGTCGTTAGTGCTTTTAATGACCGTGCTAACTCCACGGACCTCGAGCCGCATATAATATAGCCCCACCGAAGCACAAATCACGTTACTATCATTCAGGTGCCCAATGGGTACCTCCATTGCACGTGTAGGGCCAACACGTCCTGATAATTCTAAGGACGTCGCGTCGTGTCTAGCTAAGAATTTGGCGCCTTTAATTTAAAAAGGGTTTTAGATCCAGTCCAGAGGTATAGCGCGTTGTTAACAAACGTGACAATGACAGCACCTGTGTTTTAATACGTCAGTTTGGCATCATTGCGGTAAGGAACAAGGATACCGTTATCGAACAAACGCAAATTATAAGAGAGGCATTTAATCCATAAGATTCCACATTCCACATCGCCTTGTCATCCTTATATTACGCAACATCTGTTTGCCCGTTACACCGTTTATCATCTGTTTATCAGATAACATGTTTCACCTTCTGTGTCCCTCGAAATTGATAATGAATCATTAATACAGGTCAATAACTCCCATTAGAGCATTAACCTTGAGCTTGGCGCATACGCATATCTTACGATCAAAGTGTGCTCATATCGGCCTTATCTACTACAGTTTAAACGATAACAGTTCTTACATTATGTGCCATTACAATGTGTCTTAGGGACCAAGTCCTTTTACAGCTTCGTTCCTATATCTGCCTTTTGAGAGGTAAGTACTTAGGGTGAGAACTTAAAAAGGCCTAGTGAGTTTTTGGTCAATAATTCAAGTCACCAAAGTTCCAGACAACTGTCGACCCTACGATACACCGCTGTATCGCTCTATTTCGTAAGAGAAAAGTTTACAAATCAAATTCAACGTGTACTATATACGAAGCGTTCTTCAGCATTACGCCCCAAACACTTTATCAGGACTAGTATGGCAGACGGAAACGTGATTAGACACTTCAATCGGAATGAAAACTAATAGATAAGTATTTCGCCGTTGGTGTAATTTTGCAGAGCAAAACTGATAATATAATATTTGTGTAGAATCACTAATAAGGCGATGTCTAAAACCGGAAGATGAATTCCCAAATAAAAGCTCGCCCTTTTAATTGACAATAAGAAACTTTTCCTCCCTTCCTACCTTCACAATATACCGATGTGAAAGAATATATTTTGACGTGTTTAGTAAAAATTACCTTTCTGGCGTTTCCTTTATCTGTTTAGACACCGCGTAAATTAGTCTTTTACAATCGCACGTAACAGAAGATAAAAGGATTTTAAATTTCCCGTCACTCGGCGCGCTCACATTTATCTATTTAATTCGAAAAGGATGTTATTCACTTTTAAAGAAATCTTATTTTCTTTCGCTATTGTATAAAAAGTACAGCTCCAGATAGTAATCTCTGCGACTGAAATACGACTCGGCTGAAAAATACGGTCGATTTTGATCAGAAGTCTCTCCATTGCCGTGACACTCTTTTTGCCGCTGCGGTTTCCTTGCTACAACACAATTGGAATTGGCATCATTCGATGTCTCAGATAATTAAAGATAATCCGTCTTTTCGGATTTTCTGATAAAACGGCGTGTCAGAGATCACGAATAAAGTCGGCTATACATGCGGGAGTTGTAATGCTTTCATAACGTTCAGATCAATTTCTTGTTAACTGAAATTCAGCGTTGGAAACATTGAAAACGTGTTTAACTATACGCCTCGTCGCTTTTAGTTTTCAATGTAATTATCAAATTGAACGCATTTGTGCTCATTCGTATAATACCTACCTACTCGTTTCAAAATGTTAAGTTGGGCATCGAAAAAGTGAAACAGATTAAAAATATTGAAATGAACAAGTCGTCATGCAATAAATTCGAATGGAATATATACATAATACATATAAATGTAAATAATAACGCAAAGAGCGCAATTTCATATAATTATTATCTAAAAACCATCTAGTGCAATTTTGAAATAAAGCTTCCAGTTTATTTTTCATCTCTAATTGCCTTTTTCGTTATAACTAGAACGGTTTTCTTTTGCTAATTAAATGGGAGCTTTAATGCAGTGAAAAAATAAAGAAAAAGACGAAGAATTTTCCTTCAATTTCATACATCGCCTGCAGTCCGGTCGTAGGTTAAACTTCGAGCTTTGATGCACCAAAGGCGAATGTTAACATCCTTAATTTATGGCGCAAGGAAAAGTTAAATATAAGAGAGGGCGAATTTAATACCTTAATAAAAACAGTTTAGTTTCTAACTGAAATGATTAAGTTCTATATTTCTCGGCGAAGCGTTTAAACGGGCTGAGAGCTTTTCCGTGTACTAGCATATTTGTTACTAACGTAAGCACTGTTATTGCAGGGGATTGTGCTAAATCACAATACATCTGCTAGAATCATCCGCAGTAACCAAAGCCTGGTTCTTCAAAGAGTCACCAGGCAAAGTGCTGGAAAATATGTCTGCTCCGCAGTCAACAGCGAGGGAGAAACTTTAAGTAATGAACTTTCGTTCCGAGTTCAATGTAAGTAGAAACAATGTTCCATTTCTCTAAATTTTTATTTACGAAAACGACAAATTTCTTTCAATATGTTTCGAGACCGTTTCGCTAAGACCAAAACAAACACCAGGATGTGTATAAGGAACAATATAGCTTATTGATTATAGTCTAAAGGCATACTCAGCTGTGTTGTATTTAGCTGCGGTTATTGCTAAACCTATATCTCGGATCATCATTAGAGGTTCGCCGGCAGCTATTGCCTTTATCCTCGTGTAATCGCTAAAGCATCTCAGGCGAAGTATCTTATTTACTGCTATTATTGATAAGTGTTTCTGGTAAATATTTAATCGTTCCCAATTTCGTTGAATAAGACTTTATGGACTTTTATTTCCTTTAGAATAAAGGTAAACTTTGCCGCTTTTTATGAGAACTTTTTGTTTAATTTTCTTTTGCAGCTTTGTTTGTTAACAGTGCAATAAACTCTTGTATCAATTGCTGCTTAGGGTAATCAACATTATCACCTGAACTTGGTGTTACGTGTTCAAATTTCGCCAAGAACTTTCGTTAAAATTTTGAATTTTGAACTGAATGTTATGGCAGCAAGTTAATATCCTATGAACATTAGATTTCGCCTTCGCATTGAACTTGCCAAATATCAGCTGATTGATAACAATTTTCAAAAATTGGGGATTTTTGAGACCAACTTTCTCTCTTTTCAAGTGGTATAGTTCTCAAATTGTTACAAAGAAGAATTTGGTATTTAATCCAGCCGCATACTGGGGATGTAAAGTAAAAACTGAGAGAAACATTATTTAATTCAGCTATATAGAAGAATGGTAATTATCCAGTGAATTAATTATTTTATCGTCAAATGACGCATTCCTCACTTGCAGCTGTTCTTAAAGGCGGGTATTCACCCACAAAGCGAGCAAGAGCGAATATTTGTTCTTGTTTGTGTATGTTTGCTGGCGTTTGCTCGACATATTGACATCTCGTCCATACCAGAGCGTGTATATATATATATATATATATATATATATATATATTATATATTATATTCGTAGTTAATCGCATCTTTTTGTGCGAGCATATTCAATATGGTACGACATGAAAAATTAGTGTTAGCAGTGCTGCTTTCGTTGTGTTAAGTTTATTAAAAAAGAAAAAAGAAGAAAAATGGATTTTTGGCTAAGCAACTCTATTTAAAAACAGAGATGTTTATAGTGGCAGTGGGTTATTGAGGGATTTAAAAGTACAAAAATGACGAACGGGTTATAAAGTTTTCCGCCAGAAATGGCTCCTGAAAGGCATTTAAAAATTTGCTGGAATGTGTAGAACGAAAAAACTACAAACTCACTTTAATTAATTACCAATAGAAATTAATTCAAACTATTACCACACCTGCGACGAAATACTAACCTTGTGACGAAATAGGCGATCAAAAATCAGAAGCCAGAATTGAAACTCCGTCCACAACCAAAGAAGCATGGACAAGATTTTTCTCTTCGATGTACGTCTTCTTTTTTGAACGCGAACAAACAAATATTAGCTCACTCGCAAGCCCGTACTCACTATACTCTGTTTTTTAACTAGGAAGACGGATTTAAAAGTTCCCGCAAAAATCCTTAGTTTCTATTGGCTCCCGCTGCGCCCGTTTTACACCCAGGTAAAATTGCTATTGACATGATTTAACTGTCAAATTTAATCGCGATTCTCGTCCGTAACTGTTGTACTTATTTTTGAGTTTTTGTGTGTTCTGAGTCCATTTGCATAAATTTTAACAAAAAAAAAACAGTTCTTTTAAGAACTAAAGTTGATATTTCGCGTCCTAAGTGTACTGGTATTAGTGATGGATTCAACTCCAAGTACCAGTAAAGCAAGCTTGTCTCCTTTGAAAAAACGTAATCGCTTAAACTTGGGTCATTTGGAAATTTTGCTACCCTTGTGTTGAAGATTGCATCTACCACAGGTAAACGTAAATAATGATGTAGGCATATATTTGGTTGTTAAAGTATGCCACATATTAGGAGTTGCACGATCTACAGTATACCGGATAATTAAAGAATATCGAAGTACTGGGATTGTTACCCCTTCGAAACGTTCCGGTGGTCATAACGCTGTTGCAAATGTGAGCTCTGACGATTGGCGGAATTGTGTGCAACACGTTATTAAGGAAGAAAATAAGATGTGTAGATTGGATGGCCTAATGGATACACTTATAGAACCATTAATTATTTCACTCGGATCGGAGGACAGTGACAGTTTTAGTGAACTTTCGGAAGACGGTGACTAAATCGCTTATACATAAAGCAGTGAACTGTGCTGTTTAATAATATGACTATAATTCCATTGTTCTGAATTTGTTCAATAACTTAACATTTGTTGTAAATTGTAATGTGGATTGTGTAGTATTACAACTGATAAAACATTTAAAACTACAATTCAAAATAATGTTTCAAAGGCCAAAAAATGTATGCAGGATGATTACCTATTATCAATGTATTACCTATTTATTATAATTCGCTTTTAAAAGTGTGATGTATGCATAATATTAAGGAGTTCCTACCAAATAATAACCCAAAAGCATAAATAATGAAATCTATCCAAATGTGAAAGAAAATCACATCACGCAACCCACAATACATGTCTGTATAAAATGAGTCTATTATTTTTGTTACTAGATTCTAGTGACATTTTCAGTGTAAATCAGGTTTTTAAATCCGTCTTCCTAGTTAAAAAACAGAGTATAGAGACTAGATGATTACTGAAGCAGATTGCTCGCTCGCTCGCGTCCGCTCTTGCTCGCTTTTCTGGTGAATATCCGCCTTAACGGATTAATTCCGACTTTGTGTACCGTCGGTCCAGGTACCCCCTTGGGGGTTGCAGTAATATTGATTGGTCCAGCTTCGTAGCTTCCGATATTACACCCTAGTCTACGTTAAGTGGTGTTGAAGCCGTAGTTACACTTTTTATTACCCCTTTTTCATTACACGTTCAATTGTATGTCATTCATTTATTAACTTCAATTGTGTATTACTTAAAGATTTTTTAGTCAGCTACTCTCTGACATAATTAAATCGTTCCTGGCGCCCTTATTGCTTCCTTCTGTTAGAACCCACCCTTTCACGACTAGGCGAGTCAGCACCTTTTCAGGGATTTCAGGGTTACATCGGGCAATGATAACCAACTACTTGCAGACGGCAACCGTGCGGTTATTCGCACTATTTGTGACATTTTCTTTAATTGTGATACATTTTATCTTTCAACTTTACGGCAGATTACTAAATGAAAAAGAATTAATATAAATAAGAAAATCCTCATCAATTCTAACTTTTGAATGGTAGAATGCCACGATCTTTTCGGACCTAAAAGTTCATTCCATTTGAGCCGACTGAAAAAACCGCAATGGGGGTTTCTGTTGGTTGTTAGAGTACGCCAGTCGAACTCATTGCGTTCATAAAAGGTCTGTTTCGGTTTTTCTAACGGGCGGGATTCAATTAGCGATAGAAGTGGGAGAGCGAGCATTAAGGCGTCCGCCAAACTGCGTAATTTCTTGTTTAAATTTTCTCAATCATGTACGTTTCTTTATTTCAATTATAAGATGTGAAAATTGCGATGATTAAAAGTAAGGAACATCTGGTCGAATGCATGAATTTAGGTCGTTAATAACAAAGGATACAGGTCCCAAGCAACATTGATAGTCTTCTACTAAGCGTTCTAGCGACGAGCGCTCTAATTGTCTTAAAAATGCTCGCGAGCATCGAGCTGTTTTGCGAAGCGAAATTCCGAGCACTTCTAAAAGTGCTCGAGCGGTTTATCGCGAGCGCTCGGGAAAAGTGCTCGTGAGCGGAAAAAGCGCTCGGGAGCGGAAAAAACGCTCGCGAGCGGCGCTTAATCATCAGCGCTTGAGGGCGGTTAAAAAACGCTCATGAGCGGAAAAAACGCTCGCGGGCATAAAAAAACGCTTTAAGTAAACGCTCGAGTATAGAGTACCACGCGCTCCGCTTTTACCGCTTGGAGCGCACTTTCAAGCGAAACGCTGGCGAGAAGTACCCAGCTCTTCCGCCACATAGGCAAAGCATAGTGGCTCCCACGATATTGTTCCCCATTTTGGTTGTTATTGTTACTACGTGTAAATACTTCACTTTAGAGTTTTTCAAGTGGTCGAAATTACGGTCCGGGTTACTAAAAATGCTGCTTGGGGTGCACGATTTCTTTAAGGCGTAATTTTGTTATGGAAGAGGTGGCGGAAGTAGAAGTTTGAGTGGTGTCCTGTTAAATACGAAAAATAAGGAAGAGACGTGGCTGTTAATGTCGTCATGGGAAAAGAGCGTGTGCAGAGTGTAGACGTTTTTAAGTTAACATTCGTGCTAAATTTAATGTGGTTTGTACGTTAGCGCAAGAAAGTGACGTTGATTTTTTTTTTTAAACTTATTAACAAAGTTTCAAGTGTTTCCCGTCTGAATAGCCATAAGAAAAAAGTTTTGCCCTTTAATTCAACAAACCAACTCGAGTGAGTGAGTTCAGTGCGATAGCTTTGTTTTTGTCTTAGTGCTTCATGCTCCTGAATATCGCACGATCGTTATGACCAGATCAAATGAATTTTGAAGAGAAAACTGCATAAGACTGTCTTTGTTTATTTCTGTCGACCACCTGCATGTGTGGTAAATGTAACGTGCTTATGTCCCTCTTTATTTCAGAGTTTTCTTAATGATTTTTTGCGTATGTGTTTCGGAATACATGTTATTTTCATTCTCAATCAATTAATTGTGTGGTTATTTGAATCCATTGTACGGCCCAGACAGACTTAAATACAACAACAACAATACCACACGATACTTACCTTGGAAAGTATGTCAAGGTGAAGCAAAGGTAAAGGTCATCCGTCACGTGGCAGTGACCTTGGAAAGTAAGCCACGGTGAACATCAAGGGCATTCGCCATCCGATCTTCTCTGGTAGTGACCTTGGTAAATCTCAAAGGTCAGACGGAAAGTAGGTCAACGTAAATATCAAAGAGTGCTCGCGCCCTAATGATAACTGTAGTGGTGAACTAAAGCACAAAGTGAAGTTCAAAAGTCGTTATCGCCTCTCTCCTGGTGAGGGGTCTTCAAAAGTAGATCAAGGTAAAGTTCAAAGGTCACTTCACGTTTCATTTAATCCAAGTGATAAAATACAGGTGAGTTCAAGGTCACATTGTTAGAATATAGGTCTGTGTACCTCTATAAGTCAGTCAATCGTCAATACTTGTCCTTCAAATAATGACCTTGAAAAGTTATGTACTTTGCACTTTGAACTTACTCTTTTGTAGCCTTGAGCTACTTTTATTGATGCTTTGTACTTGACTTTTGTATTTTATTTTCAAGGTTAACAAAGATCAATCTCCCAACATTTTTTTTTAATCATACTTGATTTTCAAGGTTAATAAAGGTTAATTTTTAAGGAATTTTGGCAGGTGTAACTCAAAGGTGGCCATCCACTGGCGGTGCCCTTATGGGAATCAAGTCAAGTTTAAATGTCGGTCTCATCTATTTCTTTGATGAGGGCTTTTGGAAAGTAGATCAAGCTATCGATCAAAGGTCGCTTCCCTTCTCCTCTTCTTAAAAAAAAATAGGTAAATTGGGAAGTTGGTGAAAATGAAGCTCAAAGGTCGCTAGTTCCTGGTGGTGACCTTGCAAATTAAGTCAAGGTAAAGATTAAGAGTTGCTTACGTAGGTTTGAAAATAAGTTCAAGATAATTTTTCTGCGGAAACGTAATCTGTCCAGTGTTATAATTTCCCACGGTCCTCGTCTTACATTACCATAGGCAAATGACCATAATATATGCACCATATTTCTAGACTCGTGAACTCCAACTCTCCTCATTACCAAGTGCTCATGGGATAACAGGCAGCAAATAAACATTATGCTTTATATCGTTTGTTTATAAAACATTATACATAGGTAAATGTTAAGTTAGTGGTCTTGTCCACTTGTACGGCGCTGCTGATATAAACATATTTCGCAGCCAAGGAACATTCCATTTGTCTGTTTATACACCTTTAACGATATCTATTTACACAACCGTCATTATATTATACCTACAGTTTACCAACTTTTAATAACCTTTCAGTTATTGAGATAATGTTCATTAGTAATTCCGTTACATTTTGCTGTAAGGAACTCTATTCGCATATGAAACTATTTCAGTGCCTAACCGTGCCCGCGCCTTAAAGGAGCGCGCCTCAAAGTCCCTTTGCGTACAGTTTCATCCTATAGAGCTTACAGTGCAGTTGCGGTCGTTTCCACCACTTTTAACATTGGAAATGTTTATGGTTTAATAGGAAGGTATATCGTATATGGGTATACAGTTACGAGTTTCTCATTCAAGCAGAAAAGACAACAGTGTCGCATCAAGTGACGATGACGATTGTACCGTACTTGACGGTGATCGGTAGGTGAAGAAGAAGTCATATCACGGATACTGTCGATACGGTACTTACTTAATAGTGCTCAATTGTTTTGTAAATTCCAATCTAAAATTCTCGCACATCTCCTTTGATGGTGATACGAGCATGTCACGATTTTAATCTACAGTCATATATGGTTTAAGTCTACCTTTACAAATTTCCAATGGAATTTATACTCGAAAATGGAACTACAAAGAACAGATTCCTTAGGGATGTGGTTGTGTTGTATTCCTGTATGCCTGAAGTCTACTTGACATGATAAACCTGAGGACAGCAACCGACATTTTAGAATGCCATCGAAAAATCAAACATTATCGTAGAAAAATCACCATATTGATTTGTGTCATCGGTAGTCGCTCCGCCAAGGGTCACAAAAAATAAAAGCTTTTATAACATCTGAGAGCCTAAAAGCTTAAAAAGCTGCGATCTCCTGGAACTAAATATTCATCGTCCATAATCATTGTATAGGAAATTTATGTAAATTCTGTGAAAGTTATGTGAGGTGTTTCTAGACTATACGAATATTATTCAAAACAAGATTGAGGAATTTACGTAACAAACATTTAGGAAGAATTTGATTTATTACACACAAACGCTATGGACGTTATAAAAGGCTTACGTTAATCGGTGGCTTTGTTGGTAACCGTATAAATCTACGGCTTAATTACATTCTAAAAAAATACCATACACCGACATTTGAAAACAATTGTTTGCGAACAGGTACTAATTGCCCTGTGTTTCTTTTAATCAATGCCGAACAAACAAAACGGAAATAAACGCACACATTGTTCGAATGACAAAATCGATGGTTGTATATTTCAATAAATCGCCGACTTTTACCGTTTTATTTATTTGAAATGACGATAATCACATCTGACTCCTTCTCTCTATTTCATTTTAAATCTTCTTCTCACGTGGTCCATTAGCGTCGGTTGTGTGCGCGTCTGTCTCCAGAGCATTTTACAACCCTCAGGGCCACCTGTCACGTTACAAGTGATGTATTACCCTGACCAGGACAGTTTGTTATCCCTTGATAATTCCGGCACTAAATAAAGTAAACCCAACCTTATAAATATTCAAAATTGAAAATGCGAGCGGGTTACAGGTTTGGCGTTTACAAACTCAACACATTTTAGGAATTTTAATAAGGTAGGTATTCTATAATATATTATATGGGAATACGTAAATTTATATATTGCTTCGCATGAAAATGCATCAGGTGTCCAGAGTTAGTTACGGCGAGATGGAAAGGACCCTCAGTGCGTATAAAGGAAATATACTTTTGTTTTTCAAATTCAAATTGCGAATATTAAATCTGCATTAAAGTACTCTGGAGAAATATGTATTTATATAAAAATGCTTAACGGTGGCAATAAAAGGGAATACAAGCATAAAATAAAAAAAAGAGAGCTCACATTTATCTTTATGATGAGAATTTTTAGAAATGTCAGAACTCACTAGGTAGCTCATGTTTATGACCAAAACATTTCTCGACATCAGTCTACTTTACCTCAAATTATCTGTGTCATTTCTTAGCTATTGTTATTCCGCTATATAACTTTCCATCTCAGACTACTTCATATAGTTGTGTAATGTGTAGTATAGCAAGACCAAATTTCCGAACTGTACACTGTGTATAACGAATAAAAATGACGTTGGGAAAAGATGATTGTTTTAGTCTTTCGCTGTGTAAATTTCGAACGTATGGTAGCGATTTATTTTATATTTTTAAATGGGCGTTGTAAGACCTTCCCCCAATATTAACAGAGATCACATCATAAACGGACTGCATTATGTGACGTAGTTTCGATAATATAAATGTTCATAACTTACAAAAATACATGACCGTTTGTATAATTGCTAAGGCTCGTTCTCGTTTCATAGTTTCTGGGAAGTAATAAATGAAGAACAAAATGGATATTTAACTTCTAAAGAAAGCGTTCGGGTAGGTAGTCAAGCGTATCCGTTGACAGGAGGTAGATGTAGGTGTACTTTGTAAAAAAAAAAGGTACAATGCTTCCGTTCCATGCGTAGAATTTAACTAAATATGTACACAATCGCTGATATTGAATCGGAGAAGTGAAATGTATCAGGCACTTGCTAATTAAATTCAGTTCTAATCCATCATAAGAACACAGCATTTATATTGAATAAATGAATTAAATATTGTTTGTAACGATTTATTGTCTCCATTACAAACCATTATTATTGCTTACGGTAAGTAAATACTTGTTGAAAGATCCTCGAAACTTTTGAATAGGTGGCTTCCTCTATTGGTGTAATTTAAACCACGCAATTTTACCGCGCAGTGTGTGTTAATTTTTACTTCCTTTCTGTATCCAGTTACACTTGGTTTTACTCAAATAGTTGAAAGCGTTAGTTAGAAAGGATGGAATTTTAATTGCCATCATCAATTTGTAATCTCTGACGATTGGATTCTTAATTGGGGATTAAGTTTAAGAGAGCTGAATTTGTACCTCTGAACCAGATTAACGATTGTTCTTTTCGTTTTCAGATTCTCCTACATGCCGTTACGACCGCATCGTGGTGGTGGGAGCATCCAGGGGGGAAAGCGTCGACATTGCGTGCGAGATTGAGGCGGATCCGCCCGCTAAGACATACAAGTGGAAGTTTAATAATTCGGGTGAGACGTTAGAGGTCGCGAGTGAACGGTTTGCTAGGACGAGTAATGGGACCACTAGTGTTTTGCGATATACACCGGTATCGGAATTGGACTATGGTTCTCTGTCCTGTTGGGCTATTAATTCCGTTGGTCATCAGATTAGCCCTTGTATTTTTCAAGTAGTTGCGGCAGGTTAGTACATTTAGGCTATTTTGCTTGTGTTCATGACATTACGTGCTTGTTACACAGTATTTTCCACTGTTCACTTAACTTTCATTGTTAGGTAATGAGAACGCCTCGTTACTAATAAAGAATAAGTATGTAGTATGTCTATTAACTATACGATTTACAATTAATTAGAATAGTATTTACGTCACCTACAGTTCAATAACGCATAAAACCGACCGTTGATTCCACTGACAAGGTACTTAACAACTTTTACAATTCCACCAAATGTAACTTATTAGAAAATTCGGCCCTCTAATTGTGAATTTTGAAACATGTACAAAAGTTGGTGTTCGATCATGCACTTAGAATAGATTCAAGTACACTTAATGGAGCACACTGTATAATCAGACAAACGTTTTGATTGAATAATATAACATTTATGCAACATATTTAAATTATGTCCGTCTTTAGAGTTTTGTGGTTGCTTTATAGGTACATTTTGTTTTTCTACCGCTGTTTTTATTAGTTTTATTTGTTTAATACTTTTATGTTTACAATATTTGCGTTGGGATTGTTTATTTTTGTTTTGTTTGTTTCAGAAAATAAAATAGGATTAACAGTTCAATTTTGTTTTTTTTTTTTTAATTCTAAGTGGCACTGTATTTTGCACCACAGAATGCCTCATCATTACAGCCAATGCTAATTTTGGCCGCTTAACAACAGTTTGGCCAGAAAAGTTCAAATACGTCAATTTTAGTTCTCAGGGGACATCTAAATAATACTATTTACATAACTTTAACCCTGACAAGGAGGTGAATTGCACCTCAAAAATCTTAGATGGGAAGTGATGGTAAAAGTTAGATAATTGGAAAGGAAGATTCAATCTGTTTTGCACTGCACTGCACTGTTTTTTTTTCAAATCTGATCAGTAGTTCCAGAGAAAACTCGATTTAAATAAATGTGCCGAGCCGTGCAATAATGCACAACCAAGGAAACAAGTGTGTGAGTATCACTGAAAAACAATCATGGTTTACACAATAGCGGAAAGGGTGAAAAAAGCTTCGATTTTAAAAAATGCCTCACATTCGAGCCCTTTGTAATACCTCCCTGACTCTAGTCGTACGACCCCTTAACGTCACTCAACCCATCCTACACGTGAGATGAACCTAAGGATGCTGGAAGGCGACGCGGCTCTAATCCTAGCCATGACCGGCCAGGATACCCCCCAACATGGATCGTCTCAGTTGGACTAGAGCGGGACACACAGTATGTAGTGTGCCGTTTCATCGTCTGTGTAACCCTCTACCAGATGGCGATTCAACCAAATCCATGCGATGCGTGTGTTTGTTTAGTTTGCAGTACCCAGAAAGTATGCCCACGAGTAACCACAAATTCTTTCTTGATAGCCCTGTGCAAAAACGCGCCAAGCTACAAGATGGTCCTCTGAAGGCTTCTCCCGCATGACGACAATATAACATAATTATGCACTTAGCCCTGCGTTGGATTTCGGTGTCTTGAGTTATTAAGTTGTTTACAGTTGCAACTGTAAATGGAAGAGGATCTGAACCATAAAACACCTGTTTTGAAGCCAATGAGTCTAACTCATCACCTTCCGTTCTAGCATACCCTTTGTCCCATGCGAGCTCAAGAGTGTCACTACTTGTTATGGTGCATGGTGACATACGGACACCAACCTAGAAGTAATTTTACAGTAACCTGCAGGGGCAACCCCTGCTGTGACCATCTGACTGGAAACCGCACAGTCATTCTTCGTGGGGGTGAAGGGGGTGGATCCGGGAAAGTGGGCGCCTCTCAGTATCTCGACTGTCTCTGCAGGAACCAACCTCTCGTCTGAGGCTAACTGGGTTATGTTATAATATGAATCCTTTGGTAGAATTTTATTTAGGCGGGATGCATAGGAGGTGGATTCTATAGAGCTGCAAAAACTCTTCCATGCCTCCCTATGACGCCTCCTAATATTCTTCTTATATAGCTTTAGATTTACCTTATAGGTCTCCCAATCGGTATTGACTGCTCTTCTTTGCCTTATTGAACAGTTTACCCAAATAAGTTTTATGCTTTTCTACCGCCCTGCACCACCAGTGATGGTTATAGGGCGTCTTGGCAGTCCTCAAGGGGCATGCCTGTTGAAATGACTCCACAATGGAGCTGATAAGAAGATCTACTTTATTCCGTACGTCGGCAGGCGTCCCCAAAAGGGTGCTCTCTAAGTTTTTCTCCAAAGAGATGATTGTAAAGGGGAATATCCGTTACTTTAGGGTTGCGATAACCTTCTTGGGTGGCGCCTTTGCAGGAAATTTCAAATTAAATTATTCTATGACCACCTCCTTTAACCACTCAACGGAATGGTTGCTCTCACACGATATTCTTATGATCTCCACCTCCACCCCCTGAACGTGGGTGCTAGTGTAGCGCCTTTTAGGGCGAACAGATGCTGGTCGAGGACTTTCACCAAATGATTTTGTACCATATCGGCCTGGTTAGGTTGTAGCCTATCTATAATCGCTACCTTGAGTTGTGTTTGGGAAACTTGCTTGTAGCTACTGGGCGGTGACGCCGCCTTTGGTTGGGGCTGTGGTCTGCTCTTCGTCGGCTGTTGGGTCGAATGTATTGCCTTTGTAAATGGTACAGTACATAAATGTCGATATTAGTCAGATAATAATCCAAGCATTTTCCATATACAACATCATGCATAATTAAACGTTTGGGCTGGTATCTACATAATAGAGATTGTCTTATTGGACCCTTTTTTCTTCCAGGTTATCAGACTGGATGACTGTACTTGTCATTCTTAGATGATCTTATTGATCCAATGATAGCCAACATTATCGAACGTGATGACAGTTACATACAGGGTGAGGTGATATTCCAACAAGACGGGGCTCCTCCTCATTTTCTACAGAATGTTAGACAGTTCTTGGACCTTAGGTTCCCTGGTAGATGGGTTAAACGTAGAGATACTATTGAATGCGCCAGATCGCCGATAGATTTTTTTTGTGGGCTCATTTGAAATCTAAAATTTATGCAGCGCAACCTGAGTCTGTAGAAGAATTACGACAAAACGTATCGTATACAAATGCAGTCAGATAAATGTACGACACCATTTTGAACTAAATCTTTATTGTTGTATGGAACTTGGTGATGGTCATTTCCAACACTTAATAAAGTAATATGTAACTAAATTTTTTGTCTGTACTTTTGAAAAATTTTTACTGTTACGAAGTCGGCGCTGCAAATCCATTTAAGTTTTCTCTGGAACTACTGATCGGATTTGAAAAATAAAAACAGTGCTGACGTAATGAACATGCATATCGAGCGGCCAAAATTGGCATTCACCGTTTTCAGTGGACCACCCTGTATAGTAACAGTTAACATTAATTTGCTACACATATTCTGATGAATCAGTGATGTGTAAGTTAAAACTTTTGTTTCATTAATGACCGCTATAATAATGGCTACATTTCTTTGTGTGTGTCTTAAATCGATAGGTACCTACCTACCATCCAATGTATCTTAGTACCTACATAACTCAGTTAACGCTCTATCAAATTTCACGGGCCAATTCTAGCTAGGCTGTTAAATTTAAAATTAATATCAATATGAAAAAAGGTTTTTTTACCCTAACCGCTCACACCGTGATATTTTCCGCAAAACATTTTGAAATTGAATACGGATACAAAGAAATAAGCTGTCAATAATATGAAGCGCGTTTGGTGAAAATCGAACAGACGGTTAAAAATTGAAGGATCAAAGACTTTTATTTATGTACCAAATCCATCTACTAATTATAAAATGGCACCCTAATTACGCTAAAAATACGATGGACTTTAAAATTATACTCTTTATTAATATAAGTGGAGCGTCAACATGATATATAAAATAAAATGGCATTCCACTTTTCATTAATTGCGCATATCCGGGATTTTCAATTAGTATTTTAGTTATTAATATCTGTTGAGTTATAAATAGCGGGGTTAATTGCGGTGAACGTTTGTCACAATTGTTAAAATAATTACTCATGTACTATCCATTTTCACCACCAGTTTAGAGATTAAAGATTTATACGGCCAATGCGGAGCCCTTCGACGGACATCGATCTGGAAATTGCAGGGGATTGTTATAGGTATTATTCATGGTATAATAAAAAGTATTATTCAAACAATTATCCGCTCCGTTTTAAAGAAATTAGTAACTTAATCAATTCAATTAAAAGAAACAGTTAAGTAAATTGGAGTATAAAGTCCCCGAGCTAGCAAACCTACTTTGAAATTTCATGGAATTACTTATCCTCAAAGATGTAATGTCCTCAAATTCAGTATACATTATTAAGTAAACTGTAAACCTGCAAAGCGTAATGAGTGTTGTCAGATGCCTCAAATCTGTGAATTGCATGTTCTGCCATGTCCATCACTAGGTAAATTAGATTTGTCGTTAGGCACTTGGATTATAGAATAACCGGTATATGACTTTATAGTGTCTAATATCATAAATACTTTACTTGCAACGGACGTTGCTAGAATTAATTGTGAAGTTTCTTACAAAAATCACGATGGCGCGCATTTCGCAACAGAGGGCAAACCAAAATATATCGGAAAAATGCAAAGACGATAAATTGTATAGGACTAAACTTCCCACAAAAAAATCCGCAGAATATCTTCAACCGTTTGTGAATAATAAGAGTTTAAATGTGTGTATGTTTTTCCGGAACACATTTGAATGCACCGTCTGACTTAAGTTTTCCGACGTCTGCAATCTACATGTCTAAATGACAAGGTAGTGTTAGTTCTCTGGTTGATAAATAGAATAGAAGAACTCCCCGTCATGTAAAGTACAACGTGTAACATCGACTACAATATTGTCTTATTTTAATGATTTATGTGCAAGTAGTACACAAGTAACAAGTTAAAAAAGTAATCGTAATCGATTTACAAAAAGCGCATTTCCATTTGCATTCATTTCCCATTTGTAAGATGCAACTTCTGTTAAAATTGTAAAAATCCGGCCACAAATATGAAAGATAGCGTTACATATGTGCAATCCATTTTTGACGTGCTACTTCAATTACAGTCTATAAGAAGAATTTTATTTCAATGCTTTCCTAAATAAGAAAGTTGGCACTGCGCATGCGCAAACCTAAATTTTGAAACTAACGTTAGATTTTATAGTTGGTACTGCGGATGCGCAAAACCAAATTTTGAAACTGGCGTTCCAAGTGCCTATGTATCAAATTTCATTTAAATACTTTTACAAATAAAAAAGTTTGCAATTCGGTTTATAAATGGTCGGAGCACTGTGAATTTTGGTTCGATTCGACTCAACTTTTGGCATTGCGTATTATAATGGTTGAAGCTGAATATTGATTTTCATGCAATTCAGGCCATAACTAACGGAGATGTAAAAGCGATCGAACATTTCTAAACAAAGTTATATCGTTCACACGGACAGATAGAGGGACAGACAAAGGAACAGACGGACAGACCAACAGACAGACGACAGACAGCAATACAAAATTATAAAAGATCTCTAGGATCGTTAATAAACGGCAAAAGTGTGAAATTATGGAACATGTAAAAAACGGTTTTTCGGTTTTTTACAATATCTTCTTTAGCAATAAACGCAGAAAAAATTGCTTCCTTGGTGCAAGCCTGGACACCGTAACGAACCAAATAACGAAAAAAGTAGAACAATAGCTCTTAAGATAAAGAACTAGAGCGTCTCAACGAACGAGCGGACGGACGAACGGACGGACAAAGTGGCCACAATAGCGCATTTTTTTAATTTTTGTGGAAATGCGGTAAATGTCTATAAATCCTGGTCTAATTTGTGCTTTTATTTTCAGGAAAACCCTATTCAGTTAAGAACTGCACGTTATCAAATCAAACAACAAGTTCGGTGGAAGTTTATTGTCTACCAGGTTTTGATGGAGGACTGCCCCAATATTTTTTATTAGAATTGTACTCGGCGAATTCTGCCGTTCCTCGCTACAACATAACTGCTAACGATGAGCCATATTTTTATCTATCAAATCTAGAGCCAGATGTTACGTTTAAAATATCCGTATTCGCCGTAAACGGCAAGGGAAGAAGTCAGGGGGTAATTCTCGAAGAAGTAACGTTTAGGGATCCGGAAAAACGCACGGGTAAGTCTTAGCCTTTACATATTACAAGATATTTCAATGATGCGCCTCGTTTAACAGTTTCAACGTTAAGAAAGAAACATACCCACTCGCTTTAGGTCGTTAGAAATGGGATGTATTGTGTGCGCGCATATAAAATACGGTACATTTCTAGAAATTCTTACATACCTTTTCAACTTCTAACAATCTGTTTTTTTATCGTGCTTTATCCAGGTTGGAAATGCAATTTTCCTGTCAAGTGCAAGAAATATCCGGCGACAATCTTGTATGCTTTGTGTCAACGTTCAAACCTTTAGTTTGTCAACAATAAAGCTTTCTATAAATGCATAACTTACTAAAACTTCAATGCAAGTAGATTTTTGTCCGCAAGGGCTATAGATTAAAACGTTGATAATTTCTAGCTAGCCTTTGGATGGAATAATAAGTTGAGATGCTCGGATACGAAAATAGTAACTTCAAAACAGTGTAACCGAAGTCACAAATAAATTGGCAATTCTCGGCAAGGTTACTCTTAACTAAATGCAAATTTTCAGTACAACCGAAACAATAAGTTAATCTAATCTCATTTACAGCCAGGAAGATAAATAAATTATCTTACTGAATTATCTTGTTGCGTTAAAATCAACGAACAAAGGCAAAAGATAAATTAACGACACGGCAAAAGCTATGACAGTTTACTTGCACTTTAGCAGCTGCTACGATAGTTCACACAGGGTATTGCAGAACGTCAGATTGGCAATAGCAAGTGTTCGATGAGTTCCAGCTAAGCAGCCATCATTCATAGATTGGTGAACTCGTTTTAGCATTTCATAAGAGAACTGTACTTAGTTGTTAATGCTCGTTACACGACATATAAATCCAAAAACTACAATTCCAATTAATTCAGACTTACCTACCCCATTAAAAAATGGGTTTCGGATTGCGATATAGGTAAAACCAACACAACAAGCATATGGCATAACTTAAAAAGAAACGTGTTAACAAAGAGGAATTCTATGAAAATATAACTTTACCTAAAGAGATACAGCCACGCCTCATTTTCGTAAAGACGCTTAGATAATTAATTTAAACAATTTTAGCGCGATGACTGAAATTTTTTAATATATTATCATCTTTCGTAAAAATTAGGACTTGTCATTTCAAAGACAAAAGCGAAAGTGATGTTTTTCTCACGTACAAGATAATCGGCATTGCCAACATCTCCTTTGGTATCATTATAACAAAGATGGGTACCCTTTGATTATAGTATAAAACCATAATCGGCTTCGTATCCCTATCGTGTTCGATACTATCGCCATGGTGTTGACCGGACAATATGTGAACCAATTTGTTTTTTTTTTTAATATATACCATGGAAATGCAAATATGGAAAATTGTAAAGGCTGGGTTAAAATTTAGTAACGATAGTATATCTTCCTTATTTCTGCGAACAGTACCATTTAAGATGAGATTTTTTGTCAAGAGGTATCTGGCTGGTTGCTATGAACTTTAAGCCGCGTTTACGCTAAGCTCTGCTTAAATTTATCGGTGCAAATTGCCATTAGTATGGTTGATTTCTTCGATTGTAATTACTCTTTTCCGTGGTGATAGGGGATTCGTAGTATACGATCTGTACGTCCTCTGCCTCGTATATCCCCGCGTATTGTAACTCCATGCATTGAGAGTTGGGTAATGCCTGCCCCGGGTGCGAAACTTGAAACCGGCATCCTTCTGGTACAGATATCTTGGGCCTTATTATACCTAGCATTCTTAGCTTGTCTGCCTACTGGTGGAGGGCATCGCATTGGTTTCTTTACGATGGTTTGTGGGGTTAGGTAGTTTTGAAGTTTTACGCGTTTATTTCACAGATAACTTGGATACAAACGCAAGTCATAAAGATATCTAGGCCTTATCAGCCCTAAATATCTCCGGATGTACTTATTTCGTCGGTCCGTTTGCGACTGCGTGGAAATTAACGCTGTTCGGTTCGCTGTCCAGAAATTCTGACGTCTTCTACATATATTTCTCATAATGGTTGTGGAATATATGATTATGGAAACCCCACCAAATGCTTCAATATCGTGCCGATCGTCCAACGCCGTATTCAAATAAAACGCAAGATTTTTAAACAAAACAAATCGCAAACAAACAACAATACCCCCCGCCGCAGTCTTTAAAACAATTTGCTGCTTATTTGGATTAATTAATGGAAAATTTTCGATTTATGGTGAAATTTAGTCTTAATATCGGTGCCTACAATTGGTTTAGCACATCGTGTTACTTTATTGTAATGCTCAACCTTATATCTTTCGAGGCACTTCTTTGCAATTTTTGACGCAGGTTGAAATAACTTCTTAGGTACCGTATTTATTTTCTTTTATTATGAAATCGTTGACTGTCACTCTTAAATATGCGATTTATTGGTCGTACCGTCGCGTAACTCATGACGGTTCATGGACATAACAAATTGACCGCGCGTCTCAATTATTTTACTAGAAGCGTGACGCTCTCACCGCCAGCGCTGACCCTACACTCTCTTCCGGTGCTTCCGAGTTACATCTGCCTTAACTACCTCTACCCGTAGCATATAGAAACCGTCTTACTCACTATCGCGTGATAAAAATATCTGTGCGTCCGTATACGTAGCATATTGCGTGATAAATGAACATATTAACGACACAATATGAATTTTTATACCGTCAAATAGGTTCAATTTTAATGGAAGAAATTAGACATTATTATTTTGATGTTCTTTGAGCGGTTTTGGATAAAATCTGTTGGTCCACTTGAGAAACTTTTCTCGCGTGGATAAAAAACCTTAGGACATTTTGAGAAAGAAATAGCCAATCAGCCCTGTGACGTCTATGTTATTTGCCAAAATAGTATATTAACAGACAAGTGTATAGTAAAGTTTTTAAAGCACGCGCAATGAGTGGCAAGTGCTTTAAAGGCCAACTATACACGTATTTCTTATAGTAATTTTTATTATACTTTCAACATAATTTAAAAATAAGGGAAATAAAATAAAATCATATTGCCGTCCCTAGCAGCGAATCAGGTAAATAACAAGGGGATGCAAATGTGGAGCGCTACCACCCTGACCCTGACCCTGACCGAGCAATTGTCCCTTGAGGAGACACCTCTCACGACCGTTCTTGATAACGTTCACTGCACCTCATTAAAACGTCAGTCCCTAATTATGCTTACTCAATTAGGCGCATTCAAACTTCGACACTCATTAATCCAATTAACACCTAGGCATAATTGGTATTTTCCCGTCACAACGACTGTTGTTGTTATCTATACACACGCAAGACTGCAAACTGAAAACCTGTAAACACCTCGATTTGGAACTCGTTTCTATTCTGGTTTTCACTTATTCGGCGGCTGCAAGAACAATATGTTACTGGAACGGTTGGTAAATTGATAAATTCACTACTGAGCTTACGTGTGTTAACGGCGGTAAAACAAATAATTACACGAAATGGAAACACAGACAACTCACTCCTCGAGCAAATAAGTAAATTCAGGAACTCCTGAGTAACAAAGTGCCAACCTTAAAACGCGTCTCGATACCGGGTGTTCAGCAAAGCTGGACGACTCCACAAATGTACAGTGTGGTCATAACTTCAGGGCGAAAAACAGGTGCTTCGTGTCAGTGTGCATTAATAAAATGGCGAGATTTTTAGAGGGAGGAAGGGCACTTCGGGGTAGCGCTAACAGAATTGAAATTATTGGCATACCAGACCTTACTGGAGGCAAGCATTAGTTGCCGGTGGGTGCTGATCTTCTCAAGGGGATTCTCGTGCCCCAATGGGGCGATGATACCGGACTTCTCGAAGTTTTATTAGTTTTTCAGTTTTCCAGTTTCAAAACAACAAATAAATAAAACAGTAAAAGAATAAAACTGCTCCAAACTGAAACAGTAAAGTATAACAAAGTAGAAATGTGAAAAGATTTGCAAAAACCCCCAACTTAAAATTTCCAATGCAAAAAAGGTTGTGCATGTAAATTTCTCTGTTTTCATGAAATGTATGTAAAAGAATAACATTTAATTATTTGAAATTGTAATGAAATGCTGCATCACATTCACTGCAAGAACGATTTGTGTCCAAGTTCTTAGTTGAAGATTGATAACTGAAGTAGCAGAATTTGATCGGCGTATCATTAATTAGCTGAACACCTAAAATACGAACGCTTTCCAAAGCCTGGGGAACTATTAAACATTTTACCACGAATTTCGTTGTATTTCACAAAAAGAAAACCTTAATTTGTCGGGGTTAACGTCGACAATCGATCGTCGGCAGTAGGATTATCGGAACCCCGCCGTTGATAGTAATTCATATTTCACAATTGACAACGGCTTATCGACGGGGCATTTACATAAGCGTGGGCGTTTCTATAAATTTAACTAAGAACATCAATTCTGAATTGTATTTGAATGATTTTGACATTTAACAGAACAGAATGGAGCACGAATATTTATAATACGAAAGCGATGGGGGCGATTTTACTATTAATGCTTTCGTTTTCTTTCAAACGTGATGGATTTTATTTTCAAATAAAAGGTTATTTTATTAAAAAAAGTATTCCCACCGATTTGCAGCGTTCAATGCCCTATTGGTCTTATTTAGATTGCTCGTAATAGTAAAACTTCCAAACACCAGCCTTCCAGCGAAATGTGTTTAGGTAATAACTATCGAACAGTAAAATGCACTCTCTATGTGAGGCGTTCGTTGAGTTGTTCCCTCCCTCACCTTTTTGAATTTATAAAATAAAATATAGAACGTAAATTCGAAATTACTGTTCACAAACCAGAACAAAAGTTATGCCCGTTTCCATTTTTACGGGACATTTTAATGCGTTTTGTACAACTTATCGATCTTGCACTGAGCTGATATACTAGGTTTCCACACGTGTTCGTTTTAGATGCATGTAAAATGCATCGTTAATCTTTATGGTTTTTTTATAAACCTGAGATTGTTAGAAAGCGATGTATGAATTCATTTGAAGGTAATGCTCTT